GAATAGAAGAGTGATCCAGGGTAAACTGTCGGCTCGATGAGGGTAGGTGGGCATTGGTGAACAAAGAAGGCGTTTGTCCGGCTTCAGTGGCAGTGGGTGAAGATAAGTGCTGCAACTGACGATTGCTTGACTTCCGACGAAGATCTACGGTCTCTTCTGTTGGTAAGTACTTACGGATAGCTGCTTCGCCCTTCTCGCCCTTTGCCAACTTGGAACAACTTCGTGGAGTACCTGTAGAGTATAAGAAATACGCGCGGTGATAACTGGATACTACATAAACCAGTGTACAATAATACTGGATCAACTTAACACGAGCTTTATATATATACATATATATATATATATATATATATATATATTTCAAGTGGCAGGCGTTATGATAGGCATCATTAGCCCTTTAGTTGACTTCGGGCTTCACAGAAAGGAAGAGGAACATCAAAGTGGCAAAAAGTCGATAGGGAGGGGGAACAGAATAATGATTCACAGACGTAAAAGAGACAGACAGACACAAAGGTTGGAAAAAGGTGAGGTGAGTACTGTGAAATAGTCGAATATGAAATGCAGTGGGGTCTTAGTAGTTTGAAGTCAGAAGTCAACTGCCGATTAATAGACTTTTTGTCGTATGAATATACGTTGCCCAAGGTGCACCATGTGGAGACAAGTCTATCTCACACCCCACTTAACACGAGCTAAACTAATCAATATTCACACCATTATTTTGGCTCAAAAATTATAATTCCATACAGTAAAGTATTAACTTCTGTTTAGAGGTAACTTTACATCGGTGAGCAGAAATTGAGATATATCTTACACAAGAGACAGTATTTGAAAGAATAGAAGCGAATATTTATTTATAACAAATGGCAGGCGTTTTGATAGTTATCATTAGCCCTTTAGTTGACTTCGGGCTTCACGGAGGGGAGGGGGAACATCAAAGTGAGAAGAATTCAGGAGGGTGAATAGAAGGGTGTTTCAAAGATGCAAAAGAAACAGACACAAAGGCTCAGAAAGGGTAAGATGAATACTGTGGTAGGGGTCGAAAATGACATACAGTGGGGGTGATGGTTGTTTGAAGTGAGAAGTCAACTGCCGATTAATAGACTTTTTTGCCGCATGAGTATACGTTGCCCAGGGTGCACCACGTGGAGGTAAGTCTATCGCACACCCCATAGAAGCGAATATAGAAACGCATAAACTCACGATTTCCTAAGAAGCAATAGTCTACTGAATTTCGGTGCATGTGAACTAATTTGGATCAACAACGAAAATCTCTTCCAACTGATGTAGTTTGCATTGGCATTGTCATATTTCATTAAGGTCCAATACACCTTTACCCAAATGCCCATGATTGTCTTAGCACACAACAGAACAGAGAGCAGTGGCATTGAGGTTAGTGCTACAAAAAATATGACCCTTGATCTCTGATACAAATATGACATCATTGGCAAATGCTAACGTCAACTCAGATTTCAGCCTTGGTTGGATACAACAGGCATATGGGCGCGCATTAGAAGTTTTTCATTTATTTCGTTTTTATGATATGCAGTGTTCACAGGGCTTCGGTGAGTAGAGGCGATTTGGATACCGTTTAGGCTAATGCTTGGCTATAGAGAAATTTGCATGACCACCAGTAATCAAATTTCATTGATTCCATAACCACATGCAAAGGCGGAATTTAAAAATTTTGGAACCAATTGCAGGGAACTGATCTTTGAATTATGATCACAATATAATATTAGTACCAATATTTGGCTTTTAACTCTTGAGGCTTTTAAAACACTTACTATGAGACACAAACATCTTGGAATAATACATAATTTCGCGGTTGATTTTAATAATTCCGCTCTTCTTATATGTTTTGTTCTAATGGGATTCACTTGGTTCGAAAATACTACTTAATTTGCTTAAAAGTAGCAGCTGCAGACTTGGGCGCAATAAGGGAAGATAATGGGTGAAACTCAACTTCATTTTGGCACGAATTTGGCTCTTTGGGAGGCCTTTTAAGCTTTTAAATGCTAAGACAAAAACTATAGCCGTTGTCAAAATAGTATATCCCATAGGATGAAGCGGAGGATAAAGGAGAAATTCAATGCCGTATTTGTGTGATCACTTTCAGAAAACTTCTTGTACTTCAACTCATCAGAGAAGTGAAATTAAAACTGGTTGACTTCATGAAAACCTAATGGCAACCACATTGTCTAAATTGATTTTCGATTAAAAAGTGGTAGTATGAGGCTGAAAAGAGGTCTTTAAACGTTGATTCCTAGAGATGAGATCAGGTTCCGTTAGCAAGGACAAGGTAATAAAAACGAATTGCAGTAAGCGATCGGACTACGATCAGGTAGGTTCTCGTAGGTTGGTGGTTAATGACCCGGAAATAATAAAAAATTGACTACCAGAGGTGGTAAATCATTCCAGACTTGCACCACGCATACACAACACACAGCGCGCGCTAGTGACTGACAGGACGAAAATGAATGAGAAAAACCAGAAGCTGGAATTCAAAGCTGTGTGAGAAACTAAATACGTAAACTTAAACAAATAGATAGAATGAAAGGGTGGTGGGGGGGGGGGGGCAAAGAAAAGGTAATTCATACAAACAATTATGCCTCACGAACTATACGTTTATACAAGAAGTGCTCAACTAGAAATTAAAAAGAGAAGTTTGGCTTACCAATTGCATTTTATGAAAAATAAGTGAAGGAAAAGTTCAGTTAACTCCGACTTCAAGGACAGGGCTTAAGGTGTAATGTATTTTCACTATCTCCTCCTCCTCCTCCTTCCAAAGAGCATGCCTTCAATTCCATGGGCTAAAACAACCCCCTTTTATACTCTGTATATTCCTTTTAAAAGAATTGTAGAAATATCCGTCTGCTTGTACGAATACAGTGCTTTCTGAAGTTTGCATTCAACTGTGCCTACATGAACCTTCAAATGAATGTGTGTGTGTGTGTGTGTGTGTGTGTGTGTGTGTGTGTGTGTGTGT